CATAAATATGAATGCTAGTCGTTATTTGAGATGAAAAGATTTAAAATTGTCAAGATTTTCCATTTCAGTGAGGCAGACGTTAAATGCATTTCTTTCTTTCTTTCTTGGGTTTATCAAAATTGTTTTCGCTTTTTATAAACCTTTACTGCAAAGCTTATTTAATGTATAAATCTATAGATTATCTATGACTCCACCAGATTCTTACACATATATTCAATATATATTAAAATGTACCGAAACTACTTTTTTTTCTTTGACAGATATTTACTATAAAATTATTTAATATAGATTAATTATGACTTAAGCATATTATTATTATTATTATTATTATTATTATTATTATTATTTCTCGTTATTTCTGTTGCATACGCATTTCTTTTTTGGTCGCAAACAGAAATGACTTCATGACATTTTCCACTGATCATTTTGTAAAAAAAATAAGATCACACACATTTTACGTTGATAAAGTTCTTTGTAATGTGTGATCTGTATTTGTGAGTACAATTTTTTTGTATTTCTTTAAGGCATGGGCTATCAGGGATCACTTCATTGAGTTTATCGGGACATTTTCCAATCAAAGCGACGGCCCCGACTACAACTGGAATTGTTGATGTCCTCACATGCCACATTTTGGAGCCTTCCATTTCAAGATCCTTGTATTTCGATGATTTTTTTTTTTGAGATCTTCAAAGATACATTACAAACAGAAGCGACTGTCATGTTCTTCTGGTCTTTGATCACAATGTCTGGGCGATTAGCTTTGATTGTTCTGCCTGTGTGTATCGTAAAGCCCCATAAATAATTTACAGGTTTTATATCTGTAATCGACGTCTAGGTGATATTCATACCAGTTTCTTGCAGTTTCCTTCCCGTAAAAATTGCATATTTTCCAGTGCAGATATTATTATTATTATTATTACTGCTGCTGTTGGTGTTGTTGTTGAATGTTGTTGTTGAATGTTGTACGTCAACAAAGTGAAGCTGGGGTACATATATACGAAACCCAGTGCAACTATCATGGTAACATGATATACGAAGCACATGCCTCCCAGCCAAATATGTGTGATATGATTATGATATGATTATATGATATGATTATATGATATGATTATGATATGATTATGATTATGATACAGTTGTATCTCGTTTTTTCGAGATAACAGAGAGAAATAAATAAAGGAAAACAAACTCGTAGGTAAGTAATGAAATATAAGGTTTACTACACGAACATATACTTAGCAATGGACCTAATGCTCACTTGGTATTTACCCGGGCTCCCTATAGAGTGGGGTGTGGCACAAGGCTGGTTTTTTAACGTGGGGTGTTTAGAGCCCGTAGGCTCTGGAAAAAATTCCCCTTGGACCCCGTATACACGGGGTCGGGTTTGTCTACTTCCCCAGACGAGACTCTGCCCTTTGGCATTGCAACGTCTGGGTTCCCCCTCTCCTTAAAGGCAGAAATTTCAACAAGCACTAAGTGCTTAGCACGCAGATAAGACCTAATGCTGTCTCTCTTCAACTCCGCTCATTTATATAAACGGGTGATTCCATTCATTTATGTCCGATATGACAGATACACTTGCCTGTTTTTATTATTATTATTATTATTATTATTATTATTATTATTATTGAGAAAGAGAGCGAGAGAGACTGCTTAAGATGTTGTTGTAATGAATATGCATACACCTGGGTTTCCCCTCACAGTAATATGATTGGCTGGTGTCAGCCATAAATACAGACTGATGTGGAGGTACAGAGAGGACGCCTATTGCCTACGCCTATAGTCTTCGCCTATTGCCTACGCTTATTGCCTACCACTACGACGAGGACCAGTCCATTACGGTTACCTGCTAGATTGTCCTGCTCGGTTACAGTAGTCCAAAACCACTTTGCTACTTCGAACAAATATATCCCATTCCGGGACATATCAGATGTATACATACTTATGATAAAGTTTAATTTACAAATTAGGCGCAATAAAAGATTAACAATTACAACTAATAATAAAATAGGACAATTATAAAAATATAATCTAATAACGTTATGCAATAGATTGAAGATTCGCCCTTACTACGGTGTATAGACTATGGCAAGCTGAGACTCTTTTCTTTCTTTATTAAATCAAGAACTTTCACGTTTTAATTTAAAAGATGAACTTTACCGCTTCTCTTTGACACATCCAAATCGCAAGAATCTATATTTCGCATTTGGGACGATTAATGAGAATCTTCTGTCTTTTAATTCCTCTTATTATTTTTTTGTTCTCTGTTCCTTCATAATAATACTTTTCTATTTCTCATATTCTTTCACAATCTATGTGTCTTTGTGACTTTATTATCTTGTTAGGGGTGAAATGATTAAAAAAAAAACTTGTTTATTTTCGGGGTTGACCGCGAGTAAACAAAACCGCGGATAAGGGGGGCACTGTATTGGATTTTATTCGTTTCTGTTTTATTTGCTTTGTGGCTAAAATATTTGGGTGATTAACTCTGAAGCGTGTAGGCAGTGCTTGCTATCAAATAAAAGTCAATATCTCGAAAGTTGTGTTTTTTTTCTCTGCAGACAAACCTTTTCCAAACAAAAGACAAGTGAATTACGATTTTTCTCCTCTCGGTAAAGAGGCGTATTTGTAAAATATGTAATATTTACCTACCTAAGACCTGCTTAATAGATACTGTAGCTTGAACTGCGTTATTCTCATCTATGTCATTGTTGCACAAAACAGGGTAAAACCTCAAATTTTGAATGCTGATTTTCAAGGCAGCTAAACATACAGATTAGCGCACCATAATATTGTAGGTGTAAAATCTAAAATAAATGAGCTGAACAAATAGATTTGTGCATGTTTATTTTTTTTTGTATTAATCTTAGCTTATACTGTTCTTAGGTAATGCAAATGTAACACCCAGTGAGGATCCTTGTACATTAACCTCTCGGAGACGTGAATCCAGACAATAACTCTGCAATATGTCTCCCACATATTTACTCAACTGAATTTATTCTGTTCAAGACCCACACAAATGGAACACCCAGTGATGATGTAACTCTACATTAACGTCTCGGAGACATATTTCTTTACAATTATTCTACAGTAGACGACCCAAAGAATGATTAAAATTAGTTTATTCTGATATAAGGCACAAGCATTGGTCACCGAATGAGGATTGAATTCAGTAGAAGATCTACAGGATTATCTTGCAAAAGACTGCTTCGCGGATAGGAATAAATCATATGGTATTAATAATTTCTAAACTTAGTTTATTACGGCACAAGTAACAAACCCGCGGCACCTAGTGAGGATCAAATTCATGAAAAATAAAATATCTCAAAGGTCTACGAGTTTACTTTGCAAAAGACTACTTCACGGATTGGGATCAATCATATGTTATTAACCATTTCTAAGCGTAGTTTATTAAGGCACGTGTAGAAAACCTGTAGCAGCTAGTGAGGATCTAATTCAAGAAAGAAGCAAAAAGTCTACAAGATTAGCTTTTCTAACCCCTGTTTCATGGTATATCAGGTTCTCAGAACGTTTATAAGCATGTGTTTTTTCTATGCATACATGCACAAGCAGAAAGACGGATAGAAAGAAGGGAATAAAAAAGTGCCAACAAAAAAAAATATAATAAATATTATTCGATAGACAAAAAAAAAATGGAAAAAAAATCGTGCATCTTACAGCATTTTGTTGTTTCGTGGTATGTAACAACAACAGGATCGTATACATTTTTTCTTTTTTAAAAAAAAAATGTCACGAGAAAGAAGACATTGGCTGGCGTTGAAGCGGTAAAATTATGAAGAACATAACATGACGTGTTTGTTTTGTTTACTTCTTTTCTTGTCTATCAGTTCTTATATCTGCAAGGTATTATTGCAAATAATCTCTTTTCGGTAATCACCCAGAGATGTTAGACAAATATTTACACTGACAGATTTGTCAACCACAAATTTGCTTTGATAAACGACAAGTATATAAAAGTAACTGATGTCGCCTTGCCAGGTAATTGTTAACACAGGAAGGGACAACTCAACACTGCCGACTCCGCCGTCTCAACACCGCCGACTCAACACCGAGGCAACTCAGAACCGAGACAACTCACCACCAGAAAAATGTAACTTTTTTTTTTATAACCGAATAAAAGTAATTTATTAAAGATTAAAACCTTAAATAATGATTTTTTTAAATTATTTTTTTACTAAAGTAAATTTAAAGAAATTTATCTTTTAATAAAGTAAAAATATTCACTATTTAAAGTTTTAATCCTTAAAAAATTTCTTTTATTTGGTTATTAAAAAAAAAAATGTTCTGGTGTTGAGTTGTCTCGGTGCTTAATCGGCGATGTCCAGTCGGCGGTGTTGAATTGCTAGTGCTGAGCTGTCCTTTTTAGTAAGCTAGTCACGTGTCCTCTTATTACTGAGTAACGTGTTCGTTTATAATTGGGTGCACCAAACCTAAGCAGAGGATGTTGTGGCGTTATATTTAAGAAAGTAATATCATAGTCCTTTCCTATTGAATAGTGAGTTCGATCCTCACTCGGCGCCCTATACTATGCAGCCTGTGCTAAAATTAAGCTAATCTCTGAATGTGATTAAGTGGAATACTTGAGTGACTACTGTATCTGATTTGTTTTCTTTATGTCTTATCAATCTTTTTCAGGTTATTTTAAAGCCAGAAAATGGAAAATTTAGATTGTAAGAAACATTTAGGAGATAATAATGATTTACTTATACAAGTCCTACTAATTAATCCATAGCTGAAGGAAGAGAGGTGGATTCATTACTTTACTTGTCTCGGTTCTGAGTTGCCTCGGTGTTGAGTCGGCGGTGTTGAGACGGCAGAGTCGGCGGTGTTGAGTTGTTCCTTCCTGTGTTAACAATTACCCGGCAAGGCGACATCAGTTACTTTTATATACTTATGAGTAAGTGAGTGTAACGAACACAACTGGGATTGAAACACGGTTCTCCGATTTTCGAGTCCTTATCCATTACATCACATCCAAGCTTACAGCTCCTGGTATTCTCTAGCAGTCACCCATCTAGGTATTGACCAGGCTCGACGGGGCTTTATTTCAGAGATCGTACGAGAAACGGTGTTTGAACGTGATATAGCCGTAAGCGATATCACGCAGACATCACCGCCTTTTATTCCCAAGCGGTCACCCATATAGTTACTGACCAGGTCTGATGTTGTTTAACTTATACGAGAACCGATGTTTCATGTGTCATGTGTTATGGCCGTAAGCGTGAGTACTGTGAAACCCAGTTTTAATATAAACGTTATTAATGTTTGAGTTCAAACTTGCTTTGGGCAATCATCAGCTTTTGCTGTTAGCATCTTGTGTGTTTTGTTTTTGTTTTTAATATGCATTTATCACTTGTGTAAATAAGTAATGGTAAATATGTATTAACTCACTATTAAAATATGCCATATTTCCGTGGAACAAAGAAGGTTCTAATATCCAATGATAATACCCAAGCAAAAACTTAACAGGAAACTCTTAAACTCTTAAAACTGTGTACGAATTTCCATAACGTAAAAGTTGAACGTGCGATAATTGACTGATTAATAAACTGAAAAAAAAAAACTGTGTAATGACATTTCAAACTTTTATAAATTGACGTTCTACAATTGACTGATTAACAAAATGAAAAACTGAATAAAAAAACATTTCTACGGTTTGCTAATGACGTTCTGCTATTTACGACTTAAATGTGTGTAGCCTGCTTTTTCCAAGATCAGACAATAACATTGAAATCGGATGACCAGTCACTTTGGTCTTCGAAAATGTGTAAATATGCAATGTGGTCCTCGTATTGAAATGTTCGAAGACCGCTGACCTGAAGCATTGCAACGAAACCAGATATAGTGATTTTTCAAGCGTAGTTTAGATGTGGCACAAGACCGAAAGTATGGGGCACCCAGTGAGGATCGAACTCAACAGTCAGTCGTAATTATTCTAGCGAGACAAGCCTGTTAACCATTACAGCGCCTCGAGGTGCCCTAAATGAGTTTCTAAGCGTAGCTTAGATGTGGCACAAGGCCAAAAGTATTGGGCACCCAGTGAGAAGCGAATTCACTGTTCAGTCGTAACTGGCCCAGCGAGACAAGCTTGCTAACTATTACCCCACGTCAAAGTGACCCAAAGAAACCAAATATAAACGACAATTATCTTCATAAACTGTGCCTCTTACTCTTTAACCCTCTACTCCGAGTATCGCTTGGGCCTTGTACAGGGTGAACATCTTTGGGGGAAAAATATCATCGTCCTAAGGGCGATATAAAGTAATGATGAACGACATATTATAGAAAAGTGCCACACAAATTTATATGAATGAAATTCAGAGTCATCGTTTGTCATGCATCTGTCATCTGGAAATCTAACCTCGATATAGACCCCAAGTTTCATTTAGCAAAACGCGTAGACAGAAATACGGAGAACATGCAAATCACTTCGGCTGCGTATGCAAATACCTTCATTCAATACAAAAGCCTGACAATGAACAAACAGGGACGGCTATTTAATCTATTTAACCTGGCCCAGACAGAACCCATTCTGGTTGAGTCTAGGGTGCTCGAGCATCAAGGGCAAAGGAGTACATCACACACGAGAGAGGTAATGAGTTAATCTCTGGTGCTTGAGGCATCCCCAAATGCCGTGAGGACTTGAGCAATCTCTGTCCTTAGTATCATGTAGGACTCCCACTTTCAATCTGGCAAATAAATACAATCTGAATCAGCCAGAACCCCATTAGGGTTAAAGTTATTCGAGACATAAAGAGGCGTCACTCGCCGGACAGAATCATTATTACGGAATAGGAACAAGGTTAATCTCTGGTACCAGAGGCTGGGGAGGCCTCTTGTGTCAGAGATTACCCATAGGCGTACAAAAGACAAAGAAATGCCAATGGGTTTTTTGTACCTAGTCTCATATACCAGGTCGCCAAATTCTCTTCAAGTAGGCGTGTAGGTAAATACAGACATTTCAGTTTAGGAACGTAAATGTGTTATGATGTGTTATGATGCAATAGAATTTCGGCTCGGAATGAAAAATCTGAGAGCCGAGTTCGAATTCCAGTTGGGTTCATTACATTCACTTACATGCAAATATCTCTCGGAAAGATATGAATCTATCTCTTCTCCTTCTTGCTATGGATCAAATAACAGGACAGACTGCCATCTATAGCCTTCATTGGCAACCATTCTAGTACAAAGAATCGGCAACCTACTGCGGGTAAATTTATCCGCCCAGTCAGTCGTGAAATAGACATTATTGCCCAAGCATGTAGCACGTATGGCCCTAAACTGACTGACGAACCATGAGGCTAAGCCAGTCAGCAATGCAAAAGTGTGAGAACTGCAAGGTACTGTACACACTTGAAAGCTATAATTTTTTCGAAGACTATTACGATTGTATTGCTCGATTCTTACCGAGAGCTCTACGCATCTAGACTTGCATCGTACTAAACCTATTAACTATACATTGGTATTGCACTGTGGTGTAATGTTTAGCAAATTGTAGTCACACGCCATTATTGCCGTAGAGTGTTCGAGCCTTATTGAAAGTTCCACACTTGGGGACTTATGCCGTACTTATACAAGCTGAATAAATATCCCGACCGACTTGGATGTTATGGCGGTAATAACAGCAAAACAACTTCGACTTGCGAAAAAAAAAAGCATCAACACGAGTCTGGAATTATTCTATATTTGAGGACGGACCACCTGAGTTAACGTTCTTTTCTGCGCAAATAAATACACCATTTAGCCTACCGACATCTGGAATTGCTATCAAATTCTAATAAAATGGTAGGATATTTTGTAGATGTTTACAATGAAGTTCATTGCTCACAATAAGACAAGGCAAAGAATTATTTATAATTATTATTATTAAACACAAATATCTATATTTTGCCACTCCATATCATTTAGTATTGATTATCCTATCTTGGCAAAGTTCAATTTCAGCTGGTTAATTAATTGCCGCCAGGACTTGATACCTTCTAGACTAATACGAATAGGCAAATCTGGGACGACCACTCACTTTTATATGAGGAGAAAATTTTTATGATCCTGCATCGATTGGACATGTGTGTGGATGCCGATGGTGACTACGTGGAAAAGTAGCATATTCGTGTTGGTTGATTTGTTTAACGGTATATCAACACTTTATCGATCATTTAATGACGAAAATTAATTTTCTTTGTTATTCTGCTTTCACAATTGAATACATGGTAGATGATAACTCAGCTTTTGTGCATATACAGGTTTGTTATTTAAGGCAGTCATATGTGTTTTATGTTGTAGTTTTGTTGAAGCTATATTTTGGAATACAGTTTAATTTCTTTAAGAAATTGTAGAATATTACATGGATTAATGACATGAAAGAATTCTTTCATGTTGGTTGTTTGGTTGGTTGATTTTATTTAGCGGCATATCCTATATATATATATATATATATATATATATATATATATATATATATATATATATATATTATGAAATGGACAAAATCCGACAATTATTTTAAGACATTTTTTTAAAAAGAACGTATAAAGATAAAAATGTCTTAATTTATATATATATATATATATATATATATATATATATATGATAAAATATAGTTTTAAGGTCTGCTATATGTTACACAGAATATATATATATATATATATATATATATATTATGTAATATTTTCGCAGATGTGTGTGGGGTGTAATGGATAGGCATGATAACTTGGAGAGACAATCTGGTGTTCAAGTTGAGTTCGTGACATTCACTTACATGCAAATACTCCTTGGAAACGTATGAACCATCACATCTCTCCAAGCTATGGGTTAAATAGTAGGTCTTATATCTGGGCAAGTCATTGTTATTGTCAAAGAATTGTTAATGCCATATTCCCTTGAAAAACGAAAATAATAACTTATTTTTAATCATAACCTGTAATATATTTCGGTTTTTAAATAACCCATAATGGTTTAAGAAGCCGTAAAAAAAACCAAAGACAAAAAAAAAAAAAAAAAAACAAAAAACAAATCAATAAAAATAAACTTTTTTACAGAACTTATCGTTACTACATTCTGATCACAGGTATAAATAACGGGGACGTATATTTTGATTCTTGATGTTATTGTCATTTTTTACGGGTATTATATTTGTAATTGTAAGAACAGCAAGAAAGGTTAGAGATGATAATAGTAATAATAATAATAATAATAATAATGTATAACGCTTGGTAAGGAAAGATTACGAATTTTAAAAATTTATAAATATTTTGTAAAAGCAAGGTTAGATACGTGATTTGTTAAAAATGTCTCCAGTCAAAGTATCTTTTGATAAGTCCGTTTCGGATACATACATTCCTCAACAAGGCTAATTTTGATATCTTCGAGTAAAATAGCCTAACATTTTATATTTATTTTTATGTGGAGTTATAACTTCTAGTTTCGATTCGCAGCACAAAGATATGTCTCCCAGTTTTGTACTTGTAAAATCTGTAGCATTTACGTAAATTAAAACAATGAAAGAAATTGCCCTTTCGTATAGAAAGTCAGCAGCTGTGAACGCTGCAAGGGTCAGTCCCTAGTCAGGGGAGAGTTAAGCAACCTCCTGGGGTGACGACATCTGTGGATCACAAGAACTACCAACTGTACAAACGTAGATGTCTGGAGGGAGTCAAAATTCAAGAATCTTGCAAGAAAGAAAAACATGGTTGATTTGAGTTCAGGTGTCTGAGACATGAATTGTGGTTATGTGGCGCGAAAGACATGTGAAAAGAAATTTGTTTTGTTCGTCCATTGATTCTACTGACAAATACTTAGCTTACGCTATTTGTTGGGCAATGGATATTGTCTTGGAATGTTTTAAGGCATGCTGTATTTATGGGTTAAAGTGCTCAATATCAGGGATAGGGCATATATGAATATAAAAATGGACATTGAGGTGAACACATCGAGAATTATCTGTTTCATGTTTAAAAGCAGTCTTCAGGCTAATATTGTTTTAAGCATGGAACATTCAATCGCCGCTGGGTATTGACCTCAATATCCAGTATATATATATATATATATATATATATATATATATATATATATATATATATTATGTAACATTTTT